ATTAATTAATATATTAAAAAAGAAAAAGAAAAGAAATTTGTTTTAAGAAACTAGATCCAATAATTGAAAATGTCTACTCAATAGAACAAAATGCTTTCCAATTATGAGTCATATATTTATATCCCTTCTTGTTCTGACTATAAATTTGTCGATATCATACATTTTGTTTCAATAGTAATTTTATTACATCCATTAATAATATTTTCTCCATTTATTTTCATATATTTATATTATATATGTATATATTTTATTTATAGAATTTATTTGATAAAATTTTAATTTAAAATGATGTAAATTGGTGCTAGTGTAAGATTATAATTATAATGATAAGGTCAATATTAAAATTTTAAAATTTTTTAAATATTATTTTTACATCTAAAAATGTTAAAAAAAATTATTCTATTTATATTATATTATAAAAAAAATATATTATTTTTATATATTTAGGGGTCTCTTTTTGCTTTGTCGTTGACTCCCTCAGAAAGTGAAGATTAACAGCATCCAATAAATCGACAATCAGCAATTGCCACTGACATGAAAATCTAACTGATCAGCTCAATATAATCATGATTACAGTGCAGTGAATAGATATTAGCTGATCAAGAACTGGTCGGAACAATTTGAATAAGATCGACCAATATATATATAGGGATATTTTATAAGGATGATGATCATAATTAGTAATTGGATTTATTGATTCAGCCCCAAACAAATACTACAATACATCGTCTTGTAGTAATTCCAGGGAACCTTACATAATCATCACAATTAATATTCAAATGCAAACAAAACCTTAATTGGTGCTGGTGAAAAGATAGGAACCCTAGCTAGCTAGAATTTATCAATGATCAGGAGTCCCTAATGTCATTTTATTTGGCCGCCGAATAATATCCTTATTTGCATGAGGGAGAGCTGCACGGAGGCGCCGGAGATGGACGCGTCGGGCTGCACGGAGGTTCAGGGCAGGGAGGCGCCGGAGATGGAGGCGCTGGGCTGCACGGAGGTTTAGGGCAGGGGGTATCACCACCTTCACCTCCACCTGCACCGCTGCCTCCACCGTGACCACTAGCACCTCCGCCGCCGCCGCCGCCACCTCCTCCTCCACCACCACCGCCACCGCCACCTCCTCCACCACCGCCGCCACCATTTGGACAGTCCTTGCCCGGCGATTTGCAAACCCTTGCTTCAGCCTGCCATAAAACCATATTCTCTGCACGCACCAAATTATATATCATGTAGTTAATTAATTAATTAAAAGATTGACGAACTGGATCGAAGCTTACGTGTGATTAGAAGATGCAACAGAAGAAGCACAGCTCCCACCACCATTTTAGCCATATCTCAACAAATTGATCGGATATCAATCTTTCTCTATGTGATTTTTTGTTATTGGATATTCTACAACGTCTGTTTTGGTCCCTTTTATAGAGCCCAAGAATTACTGTGGGGATAAAAAAGCAAATGTCCAACTTGGGATGGAGATAAGTTTTGGTGAATTCGATAATTAATAAAAGTATACAGTGGATGATCAAATCTGACAACCTTAGCCATTGACGGTTTTCAAAATTACAGAATCAAATCCAACTACTGAAAATGGTATCTATTTGTTTCTTCAATAAATATTCTACTGAAAATATTGTTGGGAGATGAAGCTATATATGTAATAATAAATAAAAAGTGTATATATTATTTCACACACTTAATATTTTAAATTGATGATTTCCATTTCAATATCTTGCACATTTACTGTAAAAGTTCAATTATAATTATTATGAACCAATTACAAGTATCTGATATATATATCAATATAATATTTAAGTGTCGTTGAACAACATCTTATTGATAATGTTATAAAATATTTAGTATGAGCATATTATATAATTAATGGAAGAGCAACATCTCGATTATTTAGGCCTTACTTAACGTGAGTAGGATTGAATTTAGTGCTATATATGTCAAAAAAAATAAAAAGGATAAAATACGATTTATCATACATATATATATAGAATAGCAATCATTTCCAACACTCCATGTTATCATTTTAATTAATAACAGATATCATTTAAATGAAACAACCTAAATAAAATAATTGGTCATATATGTAAGATTCAAATTATTTTATATACAAAAGAATTTAATTTTATCAGAACCGCACCATAGTCACTTCGAAATTCATCAAAACTTATGTTAACGCCATCCACGAGCCATGGAAATTAATTGAACAACTTTGCACAAACATACACATTATAAACACAATCTTTATTTATTTTACTAAAGAAAATCATACTAGACAAATCATGTGTAGCAGATAAGACTTTGTAGTGTCGAATTTGAACCTATAATCTTATGGTGATGAGACTATTTTCACATGACGAGGTCATCCCTTCGAGAGTATAAATATAAATATTTATTTATTATTTTTTTATATTTTGGGAACCTGAAACAACTACCTAATAAACATAAATATTTACTACAAATACAAAATATGGGTATAATTTCACCAATTTTTAACCCCCCTCCCAAAAAAAAAAAGAAAAGAAAAATAATATGCTCTTTATTTATTGCGCATCATCAACAACATTTAAATGTAATATGCTCTTTAGGCTTGATATAATATACAAATGTAATACATATGAAATATTTTCTGTTAATGTTATAAAAATAATAAAAATAGAATTATAAATTAGAGTATACCCGTGAAAAATTCAAATTAGATATATTATCAGGTTTTGAAGCAAAATACGATGTATATTCTTGGACACCAGAGCCGACAAATTAAATCCAATACAAGAATTAGCCATAATTAAAGAATGAAATATCATAACAATATTAATAGGTGTACATCGACAATATAATAAAATGCTAAATAATCAAACCAAATAAATCAAGAATTCTTGTATGTAAAAAACCAAACAAACATTTCCTAAAATCTGCTTTGAGCGCAATATTTCCGATTATTGGATTTATGTTTTTAAATATATATATATATATATTCATTAATTCTTTTGCTATCGTGATGTATTTGTGATCATTCAATTAATTAACAGCTGCATGCTCGGATGTTGATTAATTTATTCTTCCACTACAAGATATAAATTATTTATTTATAATTTTATAGTAATTAACTGATGGGAATAATTTGAAACAATTTGAATAATATATATATATATATATAAGCATAAATTTATCATGAAGATTAATTTTAATTAGTTATTGGATTTGCTCATTCTGGCCCAAACAAATACTACAATACATGATCTTGTAGTAATACGAAGGAACCTTACATGGTAATAATAATATTCAAATGCAAACAAAACAACTGCTGCTGATGAAAAGAGTACTCGTTCAGAAACCCTAGAATTTATTTCACCGCCGAATACTCTTATTTGCACGACGGAGAGCTGCACGGAGGCGCCGGAGATGGCGGCGTCGGGCTGCACGGAGGTTCAGGGCAGGGAGGAGCCGGAGATGGAGGCGCTGGGCTGCACGGAGGTTTAGGGCAGGGGGTATCACCACCTTCACCTCCACCTCCGCCGCCGCCGCCGCCACCTCCGCCTCCAGAATGAACTGAAATCCAACTACTCAAAATAGTATTATTCATTTGTTTCTTCAATAAATTTTTCACTAAAAATATGTTTGGGAGATGAAATAATTGATCAATTAGTTTTCTACAAAAAAAAAAAAAAAAAACAGATCATTTTAAATTTCAATATATTCACAATAACTCAGATTTATCTTCAAATTTTGTTTTGGCGAGAAGGGGTTTAAACACGAGTTCATCTTTACATCACCAAGTTATCGGGACAATACTATTAGTTTTCCACTCCGCATTATGTAGCGGGTGTGATTGTGTTTAAAAATTAATATAATATTCCATAATGTTTTGTAAATATAAGTAAAAGTAGAATATCTCCAATCCATTTTTTAAGGGAAAAAAAATTCCAATTTTTTCCGATAACAAATGATCAAAATTAGAAGAGCGGTCCCTTAAAAGGAAATTGGATTTTTTTTTTTTTTTTTTATCTTTATCTTGAATAATTATATTGTAATGACAACAAGGTTAATAACTTATAATTAATTATTAATAGCAAATTTATTTAAGTGACATAATTTTATAAAGACATTAAACACAAAAAAAGTGTATATATATATTGTATTGCACTTAGACTTTGTCGTAAAGAAACTTAAATATTTGAAGTAGATAAAAATGACCTGCAAATGACTAAGGCCCTTTTGAATTAGTTTACAAAATAATTAGAAATCAAAAGTAAAAATAGAGGAAAAACTAAAGTATGAACAAATTGATTTTTATATATGAATGAATTTTGATAGAATTAGTTATTGAGGGAAAAAAAATACTTGAATATGGTAGAGTTGAAAATATTTTAAAATTATCAAAATTATCCAAAAAGGATATGCTATTAATAAATGTATTTTTCTACTAGCTTTTATATAATTTTAAAATTTTATAAATTATATTTAGTTAAATTAATGATGAATGCAAATTTCATTAATTCCAAAATTATTCTTTGGACAAGACTGTTTAGTTCATAATTTCCTCCATTGTCGGTTGAACTTTAATTTCTTAAATTATTTAATTAATCATATGACTGATCATATCCTTTTCTAGACTAAACAGAAACAAACAAACAAAAAAAAGAGAGACTAATTGAACAATGAACAAAATATCCCTTTCTCCTTTTTGTAGTGATCGACAACAATGGTGGAAAGAGTACCGAATATTATGAGATTCAAAAGGTAAAAAGATTGCAAAATGTTTGTTAGAATTAAAACACGATTGTGAAATAGTAAATTTTTTTGTTCTATGTGTTAAATGTAATTTACTATTATGTATGATTGAAAGCACATGATCCTAAATTTACTATACTATATATGCAGTGGAAGTTTTTATTTTTGTTTCGCCCTGATCCATCGAAAATTAGGACCAAACCCTTATTTTTGTTTATGATCCATCTAAAGTTAGACATTCAACATTGTTGTCTAGAATATATATATATATATATGTATATATATAATGTCTTAAATATATTATAGTAATTAAATTTGTTCATTCAATCCCAAATAACTGATACTACAACAAATCATTTTGTAGTAATTCAGCAAAACCTTACATGGTAATTATTAATGATATTCTAATGCAAACACAAGACTGATGGAACCCTAGCTAGAATTTATCATTGAGGATTCCCCTATATCATTTTATTTGGAGATGGAGGCGTTGGGCATGGAGGTGCTGGGCTGCACGGAGGTTTAGGGCAGGGAGGCATCGGAGATGGAGGCGGCGCTGGGCTGCAGGGAGGTTCAGGGCAGGGTGGCGCCGGAGATGGAGGGGTTGGGCATGGAGGTTTAGGGCAGGGGGTATCACCACCTCGACCTCCACCGCCACCGCCGCCGCCGCCGCCACCACCTCCACCTCCACCTCCACCTCCACCACCGCCACCACCGCCGCCGCCGCCGCCACCTCTACCACAGTTCGGCGATTTGTAAAGTGTTGCTTCAGCCTGCCATAAAACCATATTCTCTGCGCACACCAAATTATTAAATCATGCTGTTAATTAATTAATTAGTGTGCCTATATATATTATATATGAAAATTATGAATTAATTAAAAGATGGAGGAACTGGATCGAAGCTTACGAGTGATTAGAAGATGCAGAAGAAGAAGAACCACTCCCACCAACACTTTACCCATCTCAACAAATTGATCGATCAGATATCTTTCTCTATGTGATCTTTTTTTTTTTTTTCGTTATTGCATATCTTACAACGTTTGTTTCAGTCCCTTTTATAGAGCCCTGCGATTACTGTAGGGATAAAAAAGCAAATTTTCCAATTTGGGATAGAGATGGTTTTGGTGAATTCAATTAATTAATAAAAGTAGACACTGTCTTAGCAGCAGCAGCTTGTGGATAATCAAATCAAATCTGACCAACCTTAGCCAAATACTGGATGATAAATAGTAGTAACCATTTGTTCTTCAATAAATTCTCTACTGAAGATATGGTTGGGAGATAGAAATAATTAATCAATTTTCTGCAAAAAGCAAGTCAATGAGAATCCAGAGTTATCTTCAACAATTTTTAAGCAGATAGAAGCGAGTCATCATGAAGAACCCTAGATCAGCTCCACCCAAGTAAGTGGATCGCAGTATTGATCTGGGCCATATCTCGATACAGGTTGATGTGCTGGCATTAGGCCCAAGCCCAACCCTCAAGCTAACCAAATCTAATAGATAATCAAGCTGTATCCTTTCGGCCCAATTTCAATTCTAGTTAGATTATGTACGGCCGAAAATGTCACTTAGCTATTAACTGGAGTATTTCATGTTAATTTATTGCAAATTGTTGAAGGGTTGCCAATAAGGGTTAATTGATCATTAAGGATAGTTAAGTGCACGTTTAAGTAAATTTATGTGAATTAAAATTACATTTATATATTTGCTTTACCCGTTTTTATCTTCTTGCATTTGATTTGACATAGAAATGGCTGCATTTCAATTTATCTTTTCTGCCGGCCTTCAGCCGTAAAATTGATGGCAAATTATTAATTGAATAACATTAAACAACGCAACTTTTTGTAGTTTGAGATAAATATCTACAACTACGAAAAAGGTTTCATGAGATTCTAAACACATGTACAATTAATTAAGAATATACAGAAGGAGATAGAAATAATTTATGAATATAATCGCCAAACACAATTCATAATTTGTTCCATTATTGAAATATAATTCAAACAACACTGGCAACAAGAAATCGATAATCTCAAGTACTAGTGCTGATGATGGAGCTCATGAATATTGAATTCGCCGGTAGCTAGCAGGGTTTAGTGCAGAAACAACGGCCGCGCATGCCATTGCACTTGCCGCCGGGGAAACCCTCGTTGTGGCACACCAATTCGCAGTTGGTGTCGCTGACGCATCGCCCCCGGAAAAGATGGCTCTGTGACTCACAGTCCCTCCCCTCCACCATTAATATCATTCCAACATCATCTGCACCAATTAATTCAACATCAGATCAGATCAGATCCATCAATTAATATATATATATATTAATCCTCATGATCATGGATTCCTGAATAATAGTAGTATACAAGCAGCAGCAACTTACAAGAGGTGGGCAAGAGCAGGAGCACGAGAACGAGGCAGCAGCTAGCATTGCACAACCGATTGAACTTCTCCATTGATGACGATGATGATGCAGTCGTCGTCCCGTCTGTAGAGCGTACTACGTATATATACACACATATATACTGTGGAGGGGCAGGGCAACAGTGCAGTGACGATGGTGTCGGGGACAGCTAACAGCTTTTTGTGACACCTGGCAAATCTATTCCATGCATTGCGACACGTCGTTCCATTATATCAGAGAATCTCACGAAAAGGGGAAACATTATCTGCCCACAACGAACCACCTCTCGCTTAATTTGCATTGCAATTAAGAATATACCATGTGTACGTATATATTAAAGACGTGAGTCAGTAGTAAAGTATTTCTAGAAATATCAAGAATATTCATTAGACAGAATTTCTGTGGAAATTCATTCAAAGCGACAACGTGACCAAGAGTGAGCTAGAGAAAGTGTTAAAAAAAAAAAAAATTGCAAATGAATTAGTTGTCTTTTGTGCAAAAATTAATCGATACACAAAATGTTGCAATGATCGGGTAAGTGTTGACAAAATTTTTATTGAGAAAAAGATATATAAGAATCAAGTACTTATTTTTATATAAAATAACAATAATTATTTTTATTTAAAAAGATAAAAATAAAATAAAATAGCATATGCATATGCATCATGTATTATATTTATATTATTTTGGTAAAATTGTTTAAACAATTTCGAAACTCAATGTAAATCAGTCATTTATTATAAAAATTGCATAATGCTTCCTTATATTTTAAAAAATATGGTAAGAAACTTCTCTATGCTTTCGAAACTAAGTATAAATTCTTATTTTACTTTTAAAAAATTGCATGACGCTCCTTTATACTTTAAAAAATATTTCCTTTATACTTTAAAAAATATTGCATGAAATCTCCAACATGCAAAACATATAGATAGAAAATCATCTTCTCATCACACGAGGGAGATTTTATGATAGTGGAATTTTATGCAACATTTTTTAAAGTATAAGGAGGTGTCATGCATTTTTTAAACTATAGAGAGTTTTTATACTGAATTTTGAAACCACTGGGAAGTTATGGACAATTTTACCTCGTTCGCAATATACGACTGGACGACGGCTCCGTGCGCGGTGGACAGGGTAGATGTTCGCAATTCCTAGCCACGGCGTGCATCGCAGGGAATCCGTTTTTGCTGCCTACATGTGCAAGAGTTCCGTGCAAGTGTTTGTTGGTACGCGTGGCGCCTACTCTGTCTCGATGGAGCGCTTAAGCGACATTCGTACGACGGGTCACAAGTTCGCTGTTGTCTGCTGGGGCAGACATCGAAAATGATCATTTCGCAGGTTCACCTACAGAATACGAGTTCTTCTTACTCTAAACGATAAGGCTCATTGGACTTCTCGCGATGACGCCGGTTTGTTGGTTCCCGTGTGTAATCATCGTTCGTGATATACGGCTGGACGACGGCTCTGTCCGCGGCGGATAGAGTCGTTAATAACTCTAGATTTTTTTCATATTTTATAACTTATATTTATTTAATTAATTATTTATTTATGTCGAATTTTGGTAATATTTATGTTAGTTTACTCTAATAATTGTATTTATCTCATCTTGTGTGTATAATATTAATTTATTAGTTTTTAGGTGTAATTTATAATTATTTTGGTGTATAATTTAAATTAATTGATGTATTTTTTGAATTATATTTCTAAGCATTATTTATGTGCTATTTAAATATTTAATTTTGGTTAAATCAATTTTATTTATTATTTATTTAAATAAATATTTATAAGGTATTTATTATACATGTGAAATAATGCTTGAAAACTAGTTCGTGAGTTCAAAACTGACTTTAAAAAGCGAAAAAATGGCTTCAGGAGCGAAAAAACAGTCACCGGCGCGAAAGTCAATAAAAGTCAAGAGTCAACGCAGAAAAGTCAAAGTCAACTGCTGCACGAAATTCAGGCGGCAGCCGTGCGGAAAGCAAGCTAGCGCGGAAAGAGAGCGGCAGCTGCACAATGTGAGCGAGTGCAGAAAGTGCACGGCGGTTGCATAGGAGTGCGCAAGCGTGGAAGACAAACGGCGGCTGGCGCGAAAAAGTGAGCGGCGGCTGCATAGGAGTGCGCGAGCGCGGAAGGCAAGCGACGGCTGGGGCGAAAAGTGCGCAGTGGCTGCATAGGAGTGCGCGAGCGCGGAAGGCAAGCGGCGACTGCATTTATGAATGCGGAAAGCGATGGCGGCTGGTGCGGACTCCGTGAGCGGCTGTTGCACGGAAATGTGAGCGGAGCGGAAATCTCTTTATGAAAGTGAACGATGGCGGCTATACGGAAAACAAGCGGCAGCTGCATTTATTGCCGCTGGGTCAGCGGTGCATTTACTCTAGCCACCTGCATTAAATCCGCCCAACCTCCCTCAGCTCCTGCATTTATTCCAGTTACCTTACATTTATTCCTGCACTCTCCCAGCTCCTATATTTATTTTCTGCATCATCACTTAGCTAATTTTTTGCTATTTTTGTGTAATATTTATTCTAGAACCTTCTAGAAAATAGGTAGTTTTTAGTAAGTTATTAGTAGTTATATTAGTTGCTATTTTTAGAAGTAGTTATTTATAATTATTTTTAGCGATAGTTAGTAGTTATTTTTAGAAGTAATTATTTATAGGCGGTTGTAATCGCGAAGCTTCTAGAAGTTTTTCTTCCTATAGATATCCCCTCTAATTACACCTATATACACACAATAATATGCATTTCATACACTCCATTTTCTCCATTTATTTTCTCCCATATTCTTATCTAGTTTAATAATACGAGATTTTTGGTTTTGTGTCGCGAGCAAGTAAACTGATTTTCTCCTCCCTTTTTTAATTACTGCATATTATTTTAGCTAGTAAAATTCCTATCATATTTCTCCACCTTACCTTCACCCAAAAATTCCATGTTCGATTTGAATTGTTCAAGTTGGATTTCGACAAGGTGCGGAAGGGCGACAGAAAAATCAACTATTTCAGCGTTGTTTCATATCACAAACAGATTTCGGGTAGTTCAACGTAGCTAAGTACGTGGGAGCCTTGTCGACCTGCTTAGTTGTTTTTCTGAATTCGATCCCGATTAAAGAGATGTATCAAAGGGGTAGAGCCACTAGCAGAACGGTTGTAAGAATAATTCATGGGGCATAGGCGGTGGTCTATTGTGTCACAGAAATTTCTAGTGACAGTGAGTTCTTGCTTATAATGTTCTGCCGGGTGTCTCTGAAGCCTCGTTGTAAATCCCCTAAGGTCGAGTACCAACCGAGTCGAGAATCGGCTTATGCAAGCAAATGCGATCAAGCACATTTCTCTGAGCTCCCCCGTAATTATACATATATTTTTCGCTATCACGCCATCGTCATCCCGCTCATTTCATCCATGAAAATCTAGCCATTAAGGAACGCAAAAATCATACACAAACGCTTCACTCCATCCTTTTCGAGATACGTATTGGGTCAGGAATTCGCTGTTGTCTGTCGGGGCAGATATCGACAATGATCCTTTCGCAGGTTCACCTATAGAATTCATTTTACGAATTCTCCTTTCTCTAAACGATAAGGCTTATTCGACTTCCCACGATGACGCGGGTTCATCGGCACCCGTGTGCGAACCCCTGTTCGCAAAATTCATCGGGGCGACGGCTCCGTGAGCGGCTGACGGGGTCGTCATTCGCGATTCCTGGCCGTGACGTGGATCGCAGGGAATCCCATTTTTGCTGCCTACAAGTGCACAAAAATCCGTGCAGGAGTTTTTCGGGACTCGTGGCGCCCACTCTGTCACGATGGACGGCCTGAGCGGCATTCGTACGTCGGGTCAGGAGTTCGCTGTTGTCTGGCAGGGCAGGTACCGACAATGATTCTTTCGCAGGTTCACCTATAGAATTTATTTTACAAATTCTCCTTTCTCTAAACGATAAGGCTTATTCGACTTCCCGCAATGACGCGGATTCGTCGGCGCCCGTGCACGAACCCCCATTCGCAAAATTCGTTTGGGCGACGGCTCCGTAAGCGGCTGACGAGGTCGTCGTTCGCGATTCCTGGCCACGACGTGGATCGCAGGGAATCCCATTTTTGCTGCCTACATGTCCTAAGAAATCCGTGCAGAAGTTTTTTGGGACGCATAGCGCCCACTCAGTCTCGATCGACGGCCTGAGCGGGTTTCGTACGTCGGGTCAGGAGTTCGCTATTGTCTGCCGGGGCAGATATCGACAATGATTCTTTCGCAGGTTCACCTATAGAATTCATTTTACGAACTCTCCTTTCTCTAAACGATAAGGATTCGTCTGGGCGAACTCTCCTATAGAATTCATTTTACGAACTCTCCTTTCTCCTTTCGCAGGTTCACCTATAGAATTCGTCTGGGCGATGGCTCCGTGAGCTGCTGACGGGGTCGGGTCGTCGTTCGCGATTTCTGGCCGCGACGTGGATCGCAGAGAATCCCATTTTTGCTGCCTACAAGTGCTCGAAAATCCGTGCAGGGGTTTTTGTAGACTCGTGGCACCCACTCTTTCACGATGGACGGCCTGAGCGGCTTTCGTTCGTCGGGTAAGGAGTTCGCTGTTGTCTACTGGGGCAGATATCGACAATGATCCTTTCGCAGGTGATGATAAATCTTATTCGACTTCTCGCGATGACGCGGGTCCGTCGGTGCTCGTGTGCGAACCCCTGTTCGAAAAATTCGTCTTGGCGACGGCTCCGTGAGCGGGTGACGGGGTCGTCGTTCGCGATTCCTGGCCGCGACGTGGATTGCAGCAAATCCCATTTTTGCTGCCTACATGTGCAAGGAAATCCGTGCATGAGTTTTCTGGGACTCGTGGCGCCCACTCTGTCAGAATGGACGGCCTGAGCGACATTCATACGTCGGGTCAGAACTTCGCTGTTTTCTGCCGGAGCAGATATCGAAAACTATCCTTTCGCAGGTTAACCTATAAAATTCATTTTACGAATTCTCCTTTCTCTAAATGATAAGGCTTCTTCGACTTCTCGCGATGACGTGGGTCCGTCGGCGCCCGTGTGCGAACCCCCGTTGGCAAAATTTGTCTTGGCGACGGATCCGTGAGCGGCTGACGGGGTCGTCGTTCGCGATCCTGG